CCTTTACTATTTTATTTTAACATTTACGACACAACCTTTACCAGGTAACACAACCTTTACTATTTTATTTTAACATTTACCTGAGGACAACAAACACTGAYGACACAGGCTCTCATCTACACAACAGAATACTTATAAAAGTTGCAGAAACCAGATGTTTTCTGGCTTTTATTTATTTATTTATTTTTTGAGAAACAACAGTTGTGTTTTTAATGAGCCCAGTTTAAAGCAGGTTTTCACTGTTTGGTTGTGTAACAGTGAAGTTTGTATCGACGCTGATCTTTACAGGATGTGTTACTGAATGAACCTGAGTGATGTCAGGGAGAAATGTGTTAGAAAATAACATCTTTAATCTTTCTTACATTCAGGAACATCTCAGATAATCATTGAGACAGAAAGCTGTGGAAAGAGGACAGCCAGTGCTCAACAACAAGGGGCAACACCTGTTTGCAGTCAGTTTACATGTGTTTACTTGTTTGTTTGTTTGTTTGTTTGTGTTCCAGGAACTGAGCTCTTCTCAGAAGAGTGGAGGAAACCTGCTGCAGATGTTGTACAATAAACCCAGTCGCTGGTCCTACACTTTCCAGGTTTTTATATCTGACTCTGCCCACTTACATGATGCAGTTGAGTGACAGAGCAGTGTGGTACAGGTGTGKTTTACCTGTGCTGCATCATGTCTTACCTCTTACCTGTGTGCAGACTTATGCGTGCCTCAGCAGAATTCGAGCTCAGCTTCAGGCTCCATCTGCCAAACTTCAAGAGGCAGAAAACCCAGTTCAGTTCTACGAGCGCTCCGTCTACTCAGACAGGTAATTAAGTGATGTCACACAGAGACCTCACCTGGGACAAGGGCCACACCTGTTATGTGATGTTTGTGTTTTTAGGTTTCTGTGTTTGCTTCAGCCAATCCACCACTGTCCCGACAGACATTTGTAGGACTACCAGCCAGGAGCTCATGAGTGGAGATGTAACAGACATGTAACAGGCGTGTAACAGACTTTTAACAGACGTGTAACAGGCGTGTGACAGACTTGTAACAAACGTGTGACAGACGTGTAACAAATGTGTGACAGGCTTGTAACAGGTGTGTGACAGACGTGTAACAGATGTTTAACAGGCGTGTGACAGACTTGTAACCGGCGTGTGACAGACGTGTAACAGATGTTTAACAGGCGTGTGACAGACTTGTAACAGATGTGTGACAGGCGTGTAACAGATGTGTAACAGGCGTGTGACAGACTTGTAACAGGCGTGTAACAGATGTGTAACAGGCGTGTGACAGACTTGTAACAGGCGTGTAACAGATGTGTAACAGGCGTGTGACAGGCTTGTAACAGGCGTGTAACAGATGTGTAACAGGCGTGTGACAGGCTT